CAGCAAATCAGCTGCTGTTGGTAATTGTCATTTATCTAACAGGCCAGTTAATATTTTTCAGTACAGAAACATATTTTATCGGTGATAGTTTTCAACAAGTGATTTGTATTTTGTGCCTGCCCGGGCTGCATCATTCACTCTGTTGTATATTTTTATACCAGTTTTGTGGTTTCTGAGATAAATCTGAATGCTTTGGACTGCCAGAGTAACCGACAGTGATTGCCCAGACAGTGCTTTTAAAAGTATCTTGCATGCAAGAGTAAGAAAACATGTTCTTGGGTCATTTAAAATAAGAAATGAGGCATTTGAGAACATTGATCAATGGTAGATGAGGCAGAGACAGACATTCTACTGGATGAAATAGAGCAGTGGCACGGAGGAATGTCACAGATCACACAGGACCATAAACATAAATGCTTACAGCATTTGAAAAAGCACAGATTGGGACATTGTAATACCCTGTTTCAGATGCACTCTGTGGTTTTTATATTCTTCTACTCTTATCGAGTGAAACAACTATATCTAAAAAGTTGTAGACTGAAAGCAGAGTAAATGAGAACACACTGAGTAAAAGAAACTACTCCAGCAGTGAGGTCCTATAGCTTTTAAGGTAGCACTGTAGGCAAGGACCTTCTTCTTCACTTCCCCTTTGACCTCTTTTGGGTGTCAAGCAAGATATAAGAGTCTACTTCTGGTCACCTCAATCATAAACACATCCTGCTGTTGTAGAGTTTCTCTGACATCTTTACATCTCGCCTTGGTCTGCCTATGCTCTACATCCTTATCCTCTTTTGTTGTGTGTGTTTTATGATGGCATGGCGTATAAAGACATTCTCTCTAAATGGGCAAACCATGGCCTAATTCCTGATTTTTGTGATCACTCCTGCGGACATATTTCCATGTGCCACCGTTTGTTGCGAGTGACCAGTGGTGGCACTGGTAGCATAGAGTAGGAATGAATGTGCTCTGTATGAGATGTGTCTTTATGCTGATCAGGATTGTCAAAGGCTGGGTGTCCCAATACTTGAGTTTGCTTTTACTGCATCTGTCCATCTATGTTGAATGCTGTTCCCACTAAACTCACATGCGTATTTAATGTCTTTACACTCTTGATACTGTATTCAGGTTCTGCATCTTTCTTTCTCTTGTCATTACTTCTGTCTTTTGAATGATGGTTCTCATATTATTTGTTTTACATTCTTCATTCATGGATGTGAGATGATGTAGTTTCATGGCTGTATCTCAAATTGTAGGCAAGGATGATGGAACAAATAAAGATATAAAAGTCAGAATACAAAGACAAGAATATCTAGGAATACTAGGAACCTTTGTAGATGCTAAAATAAATCAAACTTGGTGCTAAGTATAAAATATATAACCTGATTAATAAATGTATAGTGTTTTTCTGCAATCATAGAAGCAGAGATGGGAGGACATACAGACAGTCAATTTGTCTCCTTCAAGCTTCTATCTAAAGGTTTACTATACCATCCTACTTAGACTATAAAATCTCAAACTGGATGGCAGATCCCAGATACCCCCTGTAAACCTCTACAGAAGTGATAATTAGGGCGTCGGTAACAGCTGCAGCAGCCTGGCATAACCTGCAGTCCAAAGTGAGGATGAACAAAAACACTAGGCTGATTATCCACAGATGTTTACAGTGTACCGTATCTCTACTTCCTCTGCTTCAGTTCATGCTGACATACAGGTTTATTCATTTAACATTGTCAAAGCAGTACTGTTTGTGTACCCAGGAACACGGAGAACAACTAGAATATTACGAATTAACGACACACACCATCCTCAACCATTGCATGCACAGAATGGAAGGATGAAATTATATAATGTATTATAATAATAATAATGTGGAACTAAAGGAGAAAGCTATTTAAAAAAATTCCCATGGATTAAGAAACAAAACATGATTAATTCATGATAATCTTTTTTCAGTGAAATCTACAGGCAGTGTAAGTGATTAAGGCTTAAAACAATGTGTTGAAAGAAAATTAGAATGAGAGGTGTGAGTTGAGGGGTAGATGGCTGTCTCTGCATTAAATGATCGTCCTTATGAATCACACTTCCACATCTATATATTTTGGTTCATTATTGAAGATATAAAGCTGTAATTATGTAAATAATGTTCCAGCTATTATTTCTGTTAACGTTGCAGCAATGATTTACAGAGAAGAACTACCATTATAAAATCATTGCAGGTGTATGTTATGTTGCATACAATAATATTGTGCATATGTTAATGTTATTTTGTCCCCCCATTTCCCAACACTCCCTCAAATAAAGACAACACTTGTAAAAACTGTAAATGATTTTTTTTCTTGATTGTAAGTTATATAGATATATTTCTTCTGCTGTTGGTAAGCTATCTAAATATTTTTAGACTAGGGCCAGTTTAGTTGAATTTGATGTGTGTTTTTTCTAGAAACAGTGGTTATAGGTAGATATTATATATTTAGGATTGCAGTCTGCAGGATTAACCTTATTGATGAGAATCCAAAAGTACAAGTCTGGAATGTCCCAATTAAATCAACCAGTCAGGTTATATCGACATCCCAGTAACCTAAAAGTCTGGACCGGACAGGGATTTGAGTAAGGGGGGACTCAAAAACATTGTGAAAACAAGAAAACTGAAGGTCGAGAGAGGCAAGGGGAGACAAAGTGAGATGTTAATTGAACCCATATCTTAACTCTTGAGTCCCAGGATGTTTAGCATCACAGGCCCAGGGGGTTGTAAAGAAAGTAATAAAATCGGCGCATCATGCGATCATTGGGCTTCTAGGTAGGGACCTATCAACGTAAGATGCGTTCCTTGGGACTCAAAGAGTTAAGGCATAACGTCTTATAATAGTTCTTGCCCAGCTACTGAGTTGAGTGCATGGTACGTCACTGTGAAATGTGGATTTCATTCGAAATGCCTTTCGACTGTGCCCAGTGTAGCACAATGAACTGTAGGTTCAGAAATGGGGAGTGGCCTGTCGAGACAGACAGCTAGTGGTGCTTTATACGATTAACTGTGTGCAATTGCTGATCTGTTTAACTGCTGCTTCCATCAGTGATGAGCTGCATTCTTATTGCTGGTCTTTTTGTGTCGGCACGTCTGACAGTGGCCTATGCATTTAGTGCATGTATATGCTATGGCTTCGCAGAGACTGACCCAATTTCTTTACAAGAAACAGTGATTGACATTCTGTACTGTTTTTGCCGCCACAGGAACAGAACAGCTATGGTGATTTGCCAGTGTTGAAACTGCTCTTACCTGATAGCATCTGTATGTGAAATGATTGACAGTACTTGAGACAACAGATACCCATGTGGTCTGGAACCCACACTGTCAGGCCGGTTATTCAAATGCTCTACTCGGTATATGTTTGCTGCATCTGTGACAGTTGCGCTCTCTGACTTTATTTTTATTGTGATTTCTGATATCTTGGGAAAGTCCAGCTGGTACTTCAAGAGTTAAAAACTCAAAGAAGATTAGTTTCTAACCACAAGAATCAGAGGGAAACAATTTCATACAGCAAAGTTTTACAAACTTCAACAACATTGTCTGGATTGTAATTTATGTCTTTATTAATGCCACCAAGAAGATGCAGAGTTTTCAAATACGCCTTCACAAGTTACTTTCTACAAAACAGATCTCCTTCTGGGCTGAATGTTCACTAATCAGCATCAAGTGCCCCTGCAGACTGGCATGGCGAGCTTCAACAGCGTGTAACAGTTCATGTGTTGACACCCTCCACGCAACGATACTGGGTAAAAGGCTGTCAAGAATTGTCTTGCATTGCCTTCCTCTGTAACAATTCCAGTGATCACGTGTTCCAAGTTTCCTTCTTATCATGAGCAAACAATTTTAATTAGTCCCCTCAACTGACAGAAAACATTCAGACATGTTGCTGTGGCTCTTACTTAAATTGGTGTTTAATACAGTTGTGAGGTGGATCCTGATAATGTCAGCAATACTGAATAAATTCTGATTATATAATCAAGCTGTAAAACTGATCTAGTATGTCTTTGTATGGCTCATATATATATATCTATATGAAGCAACAAATGCTACTTGTTTACAAGCAGTTCAATGTTTCCAAGAAAACAAAACTAACATATAAAAGTAAATGGGCAGGAGAATGAAGAGATAATGTTATACTAAAATATGTCATGGTGAACTAATGTGTTTTAAATGTACCAGGTAGGTTTAGCTGCTGTTAAATTAGAAATTACAAAAAAAAAAAAAACTACACAGTCGGTAATTTCCTTTATGCCACCATGTCCAGTCTTGTTCACATTCCATTTATAATTCCCTCCTTCACTGGTCATTTCTTCAAAATTAGTTTTTTAATTTCTTCTGTTTTTAAAATTATGATGTATATTTTTCTTTGATGGCATTGTTTTTGTTCTATTGTGTGCACATGCATAATATTGCAGCCACTTATACCCTAATGTTTTCTACTTATCAATATCTGTTTAAAGTAAACCCTAATCTCTAACCATCCTTGTGTGGGTTCCGAGGCCCCATGTGGGGGTGGGGGGGGGGGAATAGACCCACCACCCCTCTGACCAGTATGTCGTATAAGGCGACTAATTAGGGATGTTTTCATCAGACTGCATATGAAAAGCAAGAAACCAAAAGTCTGCATACGAATTTGTCAGATCTGTAAAACGGATGTGCATGCACAACTCAAATTCTGGAATAGGGCCAAAACCCAAAAGTGGGCAAACAACCAGAACTTTCCGCCAGAGTTTAAAACTAGTGAACGCTGAGAAGAAAAATCTCTGACAATATACATGTGTACAATACAGTGAGTATGTGAGAATAAAAGTAACAGAGCTAATACTGTTTTTACATTACTAACAAATTCCTAATACTGCCCTTTACATAACTAACAAATTTCTATCTTACCCTTTCCTGTCAACATATATCAAACAAGTGTTCAATTATGTTTTTTGTTTTTTTGGTTTTTTTTTTAATGTTGCAAGCAGACACATCACTGAGCCAGCCTCTGCCTCAAAACATTCTCCAACTTGACAGAATCAGCCGCAAATTTACGTATTCCGTCACTCAGTTTATCAGTTGCCATTTCATCTTCATTCATCTGCCATCGAAATACTTGCTCAGTTACTGTAACCTTGCTCACGTCAGATGATTTTGCTGGTGAAAACATGATTTTAAAACACATTAAATTTGACTCTAATAACTGTGAGCTGACTTTCTGAAAGAAAGTACACAATATTCCAGCTGCAACTGAAAGTGAATGGATAACATTCATAGTATTTATCTAGAGAGAAAACAAAGCAGTGTCTAATGAAGGAGACTGAACATGGACAAATAAACATTACACTTTTGCAAACTGGGAGCTGTGGTACTGCTGCAACAAAAGTATCATATGAATTTTTTCGCAGGTACAATGTTGTTACAATTCTTCATCTTGCAGCCTTTGTCTGTTCTGGCATTAGCAGAATAATGTTGATAGTATGACTGTAAAGAATAAAAGTCCCTGTGTGGATTCAGGGGCCACACAGCTGGGGGGAGGGGGGCAGAACCCCCCCCCCCTCCCCATAAGCATGTGGGGGGGGGGGGGCTAAAAAGGACCAAACAGGCCAGATCTGACAAATGAATGTACACACAAAACTCAAGTTAACAACCAGAACTTTCCTGTGAAGCTGATGAATGTTAAGAAGAAGAATAAACAGAGAGAACATATAAAGCTGACACAGGATGCAAAAAAAAAATACATCTGGATCTAAAAGGGAAAATGTCAAAAAAAGCGTAATAATAAAGTATCTGAGATGTAAAGTCTGACAGAGGTATAAGGCAATACAAAAAGTTAGTTGTGTGCCCTGTTCTTGCAGAACCAACCCCAGCATTTTATTCAGCTGGTTTTTTTTTTTTTAAATTAATGTTAAGCAGCTTGCCACTGCTACTGAATGGTCGACTCTCAATACCACTGTCAACAACGCAAGGCAATCTGTTGCCAAAGTGCCTGCAGCTGGGATCATTATGAAGCGCATTTGCAACACCTAGGCCAAAGATACAGACAATAAACAAGAACGAAATCAGAAATACTTTGCCTGCCATCTAATCAGACAGAAACAGAAGCAATCATGTGTACAAAGTTGTGTGGACTTAATTGGGGAGATTGTGTAACATCTGTTTAGCCAAGTTACAGGGGAAGTTGTGCAACATCTGTCTGGCCAAGTCAAGAGTAATTCAACATATGTTAGAATAACTTACCTTTCTCTTTGTCCAGTTGTTGTACTACAGTCTCTGTGGAGTGCTCCAGTTTATCTAACAATGCTGGACTGAAACACACAATTAATGTGTTACCATACATTATGTATTTCTAAGCATTCACAATAGTGAAACATCTAGGAACAGTGGATACTTCTTCTTTGCATTCACCAGTTGTAAAGTTCAGCAGAGAGCTCTAGTTTGTCCCATTGTCCAAATCTGGCTTATTGTGTGCATACTGTTAGTTCCCTACCTCTCAGTGAGATGCACTCTAACATCAAATTATACATCCTTATCACACTCCTCCCCCCCCCCCCGCCCCCGCTATTAGGAGGCAGTTTATTCTTTTCCCCCCACAATCAGGCTCTACAACTCGACACACAGGAAAACAGATACTTCAAATAGCCATACAACATGATAGTTAGTGCACTTGCCCAATCTGGTTCAATCCCCAGCTGAGGAAGGATTACTTTTTTTTTTTCCGAATGAGTGACCCAGCATCATGGAAATGGGCACCACAACATTTTCAAAATAGTGTAGGAAGAAAAGGAGGAGGAGGAAGGGAACCACGCTTCTGACCTCATACGCCATGGCTTTTATGTGAAACCTTAAAACTTCAAACCCCAACCGCAATATGCGCCATGGGGACTACCTTTATACTTCAATATTATTCACAATGGAAGATACATTACACAAATCAACAGTAAAACTAAGCAGATAAGATGCATGTGAAATATCAAAAAAATTTCTGGTAATCTGAGTTTCAGCTTCATAGCAAACAGGTCACCACACAGAATTTCCGTCACTGTTCCTTATGAAAACACTGACTGCAGTCTCAGCATACCCACTAACATACACATAAATTAAAAGCATAAGGCAGTCAGCAGAAGTGCTTACACAGTCTGACATTAGTAATGCAATTCATCATCAAAGAAGCAGCAGTTACAAACAGATTTTAGCCATATAAGGCACCAGTACTTCTGTGGCAACAGGTCACTCGCCATTTTCTAAATCTACAGTTCGCAACATTGAGTTGGTCACAGTTAGAAAACACTCTAAATGAAAGATTTAGAAACATGAAACATTTTCTGTTACTTGATTAATCTAAATGAAAGATGCAGCTCAGAGTGCTGCACCATGCACCCAACTCGGTAGCTGGGTGACAAAATTATACCCTTTCAGTCTACAAATGGCGGACAGTGCAACAGCCACTATATGTCAGAAGCAAACATTTATCAGCCTAAAAACAGTGACCTATCCTCAATTTTGACCAGAAGCCACAAAAGTTGATGACACATGCAGTCACATTGTAAAAAAAAGGGTGAGAGTTCAGGTAAAATTTAATTTTGAAACAAACTACTTTGATAATAAAGTGTGGTGTCTTTATGTTTTGAAAAGGAAAATATAGGTAATCAGCAGGATTCTGTAAAAATTCAACCTGAGATATCATTTGTAAATAAGAAAGCACCAAATGCAAAGCATTTTAGAAACAAGCGGTGACAGTAACAGCAATATACAAAACAGCAATATCTGCTTTGTACCCTTTCACTTTGTTTTAGTGGTTACTTGAATAAAGTTAGGCTCTAAAAAACAGACAACATTCAGACACAAGAAACGTTTCAAATCAAAGATACTGATGGAAACTTGTAGATCTAATGATAAAAGTAGGTTTACTAATGAGGCTCAGATCCAACATAAAATATACTTTTAATACAACCTGATTCACAGGCAAGATGAAATATTCATTATAAAAAGCAGTATATTCTATATGCATCGGGGGGGGGGGGGGGGGGGGGGGGGGGATAGACGAATCATTATCACTTTCATCAGTTTAAAGGTCACAGTTGCCAAACATGGTATTAAAATGTGTCCAGCACCTAAAATACTTGACAAAAACCACACAGATCCTTTGTCCATTTTCTATGTTTATATATTTTTTTTTTAAATTAGGCCGTTTCATCAAAGTAGATGACAGCAGACACAACTGGAAGGCTAATTTGTGGCAAGCAATATAACTGGACACCTTACCTGTACTGATGGACAAACCATGTACTTACGAGATGGTGAGAAGATCACAGCCAGCCAATCCTAGAATTTCTCCAGTGTTGCGAAAAGATGCCCCCATTACAACTGTCTTACAACCAAATTTCTTGTAGTAGTTGTATATCTTTGTCACACTCTTAACACCTAAAAGAAAGCATGTGAAATGTTACTTCAGAGTACTAAAACTGTCAGAAGTTCATAATCTCATAATTAATATACATGGTTATATAATCAAGGTATAAATACAGCACATTTGTCTTACTTAATTAAATAATTGTGTAGACTATTAAATACTGCAGCTAAAAATCCTTTATCAAACAAGAAAGTGGGCACACTAATAACTGGCATCCCAGCTGAACACCAGTAAAGTATAAACTATTGTGAAAATAATTGAAGACAATGGAAATCTTTATCCATCAATCCTTGATACCTATAGTGGAAAATATTTAAACATTATATTAATGCAAGAGTATTTTGTGTGTGGTAGAAACAGATAATCAAGATCCAGTGCCCAACATTTTAGTAGGATATCTTGTACCTTGAAATCACAAAAATTAACGGCTAATTTACTTAATTAAATCCCTTAGGACATCTCTGGAAATGACAAACACTATGCACTTTATATATATATTTTTTTTAAACAAAGAGACGTACCAGGATCCTCAAGAGGTTCAAATGATTTCTTGTCTGTGTGAGCAACAAACCAATCTAGTATTCTGCCTACAAATGGGGAGATCAGAGTTGCCCCTGCATCAGCACATGCAACTGCCTGAATAAATGCACAAATAAAATATGGCTTAAAGTCAGCACTTTCCAAACTGTGTGTCATGATACAGTCGAGTCCACTTAAGTCAAACTCAGATAAGTCGAATTTCGGTTAAGTCAACATGACCAGCTTAGTCCCGGCAATTCTCTCTATTGTGTGTGCTGTCTGGATAAGTAGAAATCCTGATAAGTGGAAGCATTTTCTTAGGTCCTTGCGACTTCTACTTATCCAGACTCGACTGAACATTAGTATATCAGCTGCTGTGTGAATGTCAAACGTTAAAATAACTAGACTGCTCCAATATTATCTTACTGCACAAAACGCAGCACTAATGTATTTCATATCAATTTCACTTCATTTTTAAATTGATAACTTTGATTATACATCGGTTACTAACATAAATTAAACAATGGCCGCTAATCTAGATATGTGTTAAACTGTCTCAGTATTGGCTTTATAGAGCACAAATAAAAAGAGCATTCATGTCATTCTTCTCTTACCTGGTAGAAATTAAAAATCAGAGTCATGTTGCAATGAATTCCAAACTGTGATTCCAAAATTCTGTTAAAGAAATGATGAATAATGTTTTTTAAATGTGCTATCAGTTATCTTTTACAATGTAAAACTATTTTTAAAATCAATCAATTATGAGCTGTCTTCACAATATCTTAAATTTGTTGTCTTTCGACTTGTATCACTGCCTAACTATTGCTCTCTTACTTCTGAATATTCCCTCCAGTATAGTTTTTGAAAGAATATGGCCAAAATATCTCATTTTTAACCCTTTTGTCCTATAGGAGAATTTTAAAAAATGATCTTTTCAAAATGTTATTAAAAAATGCATCACAATAATTCTCTAAAATATTATCTGAATAAAGTAGAGAAAGGGTAGAAGAAAAAGACAGGGAAATTTAAAGTCTTGGAATGATAAAAAGATGGGCAAGCTTGCTAGTTACTGCATCATCACAGCCCCCACCAAGTCAATAAAAATAATTCATATTGATTTTATTTATTAACTTTTATGATTTTTATGTAAGGGAATTAGACGTTAAATATGAACTAAGCAAAGAATTAATTGCTTTCATTCCCTTTGACCACGATAAACACGTTTGTTTTTGTTGAATCAGCCATGTGTAGCGAAAAGACCTCATGAGGTTATTATGACATCACAATTTTTGTAATGCAGCAATTCACTTCAACCTAAATAATATCTTTACACAAAAAAATGGGGGGGGGGGGGGGGGGGGGGGTGTTAAATATAATCATTCCTGTCACATCTACACACTGCAGTTGCAAAGCCAGTACAGAGGCAGTTATATAGGTGTAGGGGCCACTGCTAAATACTTCTTGCCATAATAACTGTGTAAATGTGGGGGGGGGGGGACTTTTTCAGGGGGGGGGGGAACCCCCCCGTGTGGGTTCCGGGGCCCTATTGTGGGGAAAAAAACAAATAGACCCACTGCCTCCCCAAAAAGCATGTCGTAAGAGTCGACTAATTGGGGAGCTTCCTTTGAAGTTGGAGTGCATCTGCCGGAGAGGCAAGGAACGAGTCTGTATTCAAGAGAATGAGATCTGTAAAACTGATGCACACGCAACACTCAGAGCAACCAGAACCTTCCGCTGGAGTTTACAGCTGGTGAACGCGAAGAAGAAGAAGAAATATGGAATCATATAGAATGCCATTTGTGTGTGTAAACAAATTTAGTTTTAAAAATGCAGTCTATTTGATGCATTGATGTTACAGCTGCTTTAAGTTATTCCTTTTTGTATGGTATGATATGGATGTCTGCAGGAGATGAACATACCACTAAGAAATAATAGGATGATACAGTAACTGTACGATTATTATACCAAAATACCCCCGCGTGGGTTCCCGCACTCACACTGTGGGGAGAACAAGTACAGACCAATGCCTAACCAAAAGCATGCCTTAGGAGTCGACTAACTGGGAGTTTCCTTCGAAGTCAGAGTGTCTATGCCTGAAAGGCAAGGAACCAACAGTCTGCATACAAGTGAGTCAGATCTGTAAAATGGATGTTCATGCAACACACAGGTTCTGAAGCAGGATGGGAGTCAAGAAGTGGATGAACAACTGGAACTTTCCGCTGGAGTTTACAACCAATGAACGTAAAGAAGATATTAAGCTTGAATAGACCAGATTTCTAACATTTTAATTTTTAAAATGCAGTATGCTGTTCATCAACATGTCTACGAATGCACATACCTTGCTGCCTGGATTCCCTCCCATGTAGATGCCAATTTTATCAGAATTCTGTCACTACCTATGCCAGCCTGTTTGTAGAGTTCAATCAGTTTTTGAGCTTTCTCAACCATAGCTTCTGCATCAAAGGACAATCTGTAAATAAATGTATTGTATACGCTTATATTGGCAGGAGCTATGTGTTTTTGTTGCGAGCTTTGTGTTATAACTTAACTGAAAATGTTGTTCTGTGAAATAACAGAAACAGGGAAATAAAGTCAAAGGTCCAACTGAGTGATTTTTTAAATTTTATGTTGGATGAGAAATCATGTGGCACACATTTCAAAAGTTGTCGCACATCACTTACAGCATGGAAAAACATGTGTCTACATATCTCTTGAGGAGTCACAATAAACCAGAACAAAACCATCTCGACTCTATTCGCTCTTACCACAAGGCCAGAACAAGTTGATCTGTACCTAGAAGGCAACATCCTTCCTAAAGAGTATAACCCCATATATTTAGGAGTCAAATTCGACTAAGGCTAACCTGGGGCCCCCACATTGAAGACACCAAAAGGAAAACTACCCTGCAGCTCAGATTTATGAAGAAATATTCCAAGACAATTCATGACTTTTATTAAAGATTTCCATGTGGTATAATCAATTACGACTTGGAATAATTCAAGAACATACACAAAACTAATGACTGCAAATCATTATTTTACTTGTATCTCACTCAACAACAAATAAATAAATCTGATACTGCAAAACAGTAATCACTACTTTATAGCAAATCAGATTTACTGCAATCTCTACCTCATGTATTTTCGATGTCTTGATCAATCTGGTTTACTTAGCATTACTGGGACCATTTTCTTGCCTTAATCAACAGTTAACACTTTGCTGACCAACTTCAGCGATCAGCTAATTTCCGCTCAAATCCCTTGGTGACCAAATTTTCTGATCTGCGAATTTGTGACAAGTAGGCTGCAAACAGACAGCCTTACTGATATTTTTTTTAATTGAGCTTCATTCTGATGTTATTATTCCAAGATGGCTGCGCCTACGATCAATATCGCTCTGAGCCGATACAAGCATTGTTTTCATTGAAAATTTGATAATTTTCGTTACCAGTGCATATTCAGCCTCTTTGTCATGTCTGGTGGCAAAAACCAGAATAGTAATATTGATGATTCAGAACCTGCCAGTGAATGTAGTGCTGAAAACGATAATTCCTGGATAAGTAGAGATTCACCTCTGAATGTTATCGTCATATCGCAACTGAAAGTATCGACAACGATGATAGGCTTGATGATGTAGGTACACCTGAAGATAGAAGTGGGCGCGGCACAAGGGACCAGAACCATTTTTACCGCTGAAAATGTTGTTTTTAAATGGAAAAAGCCTGCTTAAAATGAACTTGTTGAGCTTAACAATCAAGGTACCACGTCAGACACATTTCAGGTTTCCTGTGTGTCATTTCCTACTTTCCCTTTATGGGTTCTGGGGCACCACTGTGAGGGGGGGGGGGGGGGGGGGGGGGCTAGACCACTGCCTTCCTACTAAGAATGTCGTAGGAGTCGACTAATTAGGGGTTTACTTTTAAATCTGAGTGCTCTGCCTGACATGCAAGGAACCAACAGTCTGCATACAGATAAGCCAGATCTTTAAAACGCATGTGCATGCAAAACTCCAGTTTTGGAAAAAAGATTTCCGCTACAGCTGGTTAATACAAAGAAGAAGACTACAAACTAAAGATCAAGGCCTAGATTTGTCCTATCAGAATCACTGCTGACATTATTTTTCACTTGAAATATCTCTAAAACTGAAGATGAGTCCTAAACTTTATAGGCTAAACCTACTGTTTAAATTATAATAAGTAAAATTATTAAGAGCAATGAGAAAACTCTGAATCTGGCTGGCCATAAATTGAGCAGTTGAAAAACCACAGTTAATCCTAAGCCCACATGCAGATTTACAAACCCATTTTGCATGATATACTGCATGGCATTTACAAAACTATGGGATTTGCGTTTGTTGGTGATTTTTTCATCTGACTGAATATGCTACAGCATGACAGAGAGATAGCTGTTCCGTGAGCTGAAAAGCTAGTCCCTAAATATCCTTTTTGTCTTAAGCAGAAAGATAATATGCTTACCTAGCATCAACCTCTGTTGACACTCTACCTGGGATAATCTTTAGGATCTTCCGCTCCAAAGTTAACACACACTTTGTCCATAGCATTGGTAAGCTGCTCATCTTCTTTACTGTGAATAATTAATAATAAGAATTGACTAAAATAATATTTACCACTGGATTAATTCTCCTTCTTCTGTATTTATTTGAAGACTTGAATGCATTATGCACTGCAATGACTCTGGGATTTTGACAGATACTTTAAGACAGCAAAGTTAAACATAAACAAACGTTGAGAAACACTGAACAGCTGATAAGGAATCAGTTTATTGCTCCAACGATGTTCCAGGTCAATGCGCCTGAGGTTTCTTGTCTAGGAGACTAGATATGTTCAAATACATTCTACTTACTATCGTCAATTTTACAGGATTCTCACAGTCAGCACACCTTACGATCGCACTTTACTGCTCCCAAATCAGCATTCATAAACCGCACATCTCAGCAGACAATCTTACCTCCATTTCATGTTGTCATGGACTAATTAGCCAGGTGTCCTCAGCCTGGTGGCTTGGATATATTCACTTGTTCCTCTCAGGATGCGTTAGGCTCAGGCCTTCCAAATGCCACAAGACCAGATCGAAAACAATACTGGATATTCTCATTCGCTCAAAGTCCAAATAACCTCTTCTCATTCTAGTGTGCTCAAACACTCCACTTACGATTTCATGCTGTCCTCATCTGGCACACTTTTGCCAAACTGCACATTTGCCTTGAGCTGTATCATGTACTTGATTTATCCACGCATACATTACAATTAAGAAACAATGCCATCCATCAGGATTTTCACACATAATTTATGTTTAGTAGTTGTGCTCATTTCTAATTAGGTAATTTATCAAGTGAATCAGTACAGCTATTCACAACATGGCTGCAATGTTTGTGCCTTTCGGCCAATACATCTGCAGGCATTTGTTTCTGAGTTAACCTTCTGGGCTGGGTAATTATGTAATTTGAAAATCATTCCTCTTAAAAATACACACAAAAGGAGTACGAGTTGATTATAAATCTTCTAGATAACAAATAAATATATTACAGTTTAAGAGTGGCTGATCACTTGAGGAGAGCATCACACAAGGCATAAAACTAGCTTCAATAATGAACCCAGGGACATCCTAAACACCTACACTCACAAAAGGTGAAGTCTGTTACTGACATCATAACCTTCAGAAAATAAGGCAAATTTAACCACCTGATCGTAGAAACAAAAGCTTCTTAATACAGTATGAAAATTGCAAACTAAAGCGTATTTTTATGCCCAAAGCAGTGAGGGCCAAGAAATTGGTTGGACGTGCTGACTGAGTAGTTACAAGGGTTACAAAACTAGCTGAGCATGGAGGAGACATGTGAGATGACAAGAGGCAAGTTTCTGAATAAGCCACCAAGATAATATCAGAGGCAAAAAATCTGGTGCACAACTTTCCTGTTTGTACATGTATGTAAGAATTTGAAAATGAATGAAATGCTGAGCCATGAAACGTGACTGTGTGTGTGTGTGTGTGATTGGGGGGGGGGGGGGGGGGGGGTTGTAACTGTAAATACTGACATCCATCGTGATCTTAATATGGTGGTGGCCTGACTCAAAAATAGTTATGTTTCTCATAAACTCAATTACTTTCACCAAGTTAAATGGCACAGTAGTTTGGAGAGAGCATTAATGGAGGGAACTGTTCCTAGATGGTGTGAAGGTTTGAACACCAGATCAACATCATGGCACACGGGTAGTAACCCATAAGTGCTCCTTTCTTCTTCTAACTCAAGTCTGAGTCCGCAGAAGCTCAGCACAGTGCACAGGCTCTGTAGCACCGGTAAGGATTCTAAAATACTTTGGGCAAATTTTTTACTCCAAATTTTGCCGGGGCAGCACCGTTAGGCTACTCTTTTCAATTTTCAACTGCCAGGAGATGTTTTACGTGCACAACAATGCACACTGGGTGTCCGATCTCACTACCCAGAGACCAGGGGGAATTATTAGAAGTCCAAGTCCATGTGAAAAGAAATCCCAGCTCTTACCAGGGATTGGACTCGGAATCTCTAGCACTTGAGGCGGACACCATGCCTCGAGACCACGCAGCCACCAAAATGACTACAGTAAAGGTTTCCAAAAAAAAAATATAATTTTTTTTGTCATGACTGAAGTGAGGAAATGACTAACTTACCCTCCTAGTGATTTAGCATAAGTTACAGCCTCATCTATCAGCTTTTGGTATGCTGGCATGTTGGCAGCAGCAAATATGAGTGAAGGATTTGTTGTAGCATCTGTGGGTTTGAACTTCTCCATGGCTTCAAGAGACAATGAGAATAGCATATAATGTTTGAACTCTTTCTATAAAGCATGATTCAAACTGCTTCATATAAAACCTACTCAGTAATACAGATATGCACTCAACTGCACCTTCTGCTACTGCTTTCAACAAGTAGTTATTTGGGAGTTAAAGAAATATAAGAATCAAATTAGGTTGACAAAGTGTAATTATGAGACAGCTAAAGCTCAACAAAAAGGTGTTTTGACTGCAGTAGATTGAGTTCAGTGAGATTAAATGGGTGACTGCTGATTCACAGCAAAGATCAAGTAATGAAAGTGAAACAATGGAGCATACATCTGGCTTTAAGAAAATATATCTGATTTTAGATTAGGGGTTACAGTTGAGATGCTGATTAGGGACTGGTGCAGCTAGTGATCTGGACAGTATTAGATCCTCCCCATGTGGATTCCGGGGCCCCATCGGGGAGGGGGAAATAGACCCACCGTCCCCTAACAAGAATGTCGTAACAGTCCACTATTTAGGTGTTTTTTTTCTACACAGTCAGTGTGCATCTGTATGAGAGGCAAGAAACTAACTGTCTGCATACAAAAAAAGTAGATCTGTAAAATGGAGGTACACACAAAACACAGGTTTTGGAACCAGACTTAAGTCCAGAAATGGATGAACAACCTGCCTGAGTTTACAGTTGGTGAGTACAAATGGAGAAAAAAAATCCTCCAATTCAAAATAAGCAAGTGAAACTAAAATGATAATCTCATCAGTGAATGCATTCACAAAATCTCAAGCCCCTTGGAGGTCTCCATAGCCCAGTGGTCAAACCTCTGTCTTGGAGGTCTCCATAGCCAAGTGGTCAAACCGTCTGTCTTGGAGGTCTCCATAGCCCAGTGGTCAAACCATCTGTCTTGGAGATCTCCATAGCCAAGTGGTAAAACCGTCTGTCTTGGAGGTCTCCATAGCCAAGTGGTCAAACCGTCTGTCTTGGAGGTTTCCATAGCCCAGTGGTCAAACCGTCTGTCTTGGAGGTCTCCATAGCCAAGTGGTCAAACCGTCTGCCTTGGAGGTCTCCATAGCCCAGTGGTCAAACCGTCTGTCTAGGTCTCCATAGCCCAGTGGTCAAACCGTCTGTCTCATGCTCTAAAGATCATGGGTTCATTTCACAGATATGTAATTCAGTTCACCTGTGAAATATTTTATAAAGATCTCCGAGGATCGTCACTAAAGGTATAGAGTTTGTGCTTTGAGTAATGATCTCGGCAGGTGGCTAGCTAGTCTGCAGAAAGAGATGGGCTATATAGGATAACCTAAGGTAATAAGTTGATCCTCTAGATGAGGGCAATTTAACAAACGTGGCCCATAGGCCAAGTATGTCCTGCTGTAGCCTAGCAAGTGGCCCATGGATCATTGGCAGTTGTATTGTATTGATGATCTTTCTACGCTGGGGCTCGGCCCTTTGATGATTCAGTTTAAAAACTTTGGCACCAGAGTAAACTTTGTTGAATAGGCCTGCTCCTGATGTTAACCACAAATTTTCCCCCACACATAATATATATGTTTGTTGTGTGTTTATGAGACAAGTTTGCATACCCTTTAATAAAAATATTCCCCATGTGGGTTCTGGAGACATAATATACCCTCCCCCTAACAAGCACGTAAACAATGGTAATTAAATAGGGATATTCCCTTCTAAATCTGAGTGCATCTGCTTCAGAGGCAAGGAACCAACAGTATGTTAGTATGTACACAAATAAGTCAGATCTGTAAAATTAATGTGCATGCAAAACTCAAGTTCTGAAACAGGACTAAAGTCCACAAGTGGACGAACAACACAACTTTCGGACAGATTTTAATTTTAATTTACAGCAAAGAATGCCAAGCAGAAGAAGAAGAAGAAAAAGACCTTCTCCCCCTTTCTACTCCCAACAAACAGACAAAAAAAGCAGCTTACAACAGAAAATTCCCTTCAACTTGCAAATGTTTATAGAAAGCACGTTCATACTAGCTGATTATGTTATGGGGAAAACATAATCCTCTAATTCTTGAAACATAAAGAAATAATAAACACAGAAACATTTTAAAGGCAAACAAAATCTGACTGAATCTGAACTTTGAATTCAGCCAGATTTAGTAAGAAAATTGGGCCATCCTCCAAATAACGGCCCCAGATTATTGGGGCCGAAAATATACCCTAACAGGGCTTCAGTCACATTTAAATTGCGGACCTCTTCCGGCGACTACACAACATACCAAGTATCTCCCGGCGGAGCATAGTGGGGCTAAACTAGATGGCTAGGACTCACGAGAAAATAAAATGGAGGAAGCTGCATGAGATGCGGTAGCTGTAATCGTGAGTCCCAGCCATACTCTAGGCGGTGACTTTAACTGGGTAGAAGCTTTTCCACGGTATGCTGTGTAGTCACCGGAAATAGGTCCGCAATTTACATGTGACTGAGGCCCTGTTAGGGTATATTTTCGTCCTCGATAATTTGGGACCGTTATTCGGGGGATAGCCCATAAGTATGAAGCACGTATTGTTTTTTGGGCTCTTCTTGCAATACCGGACGAGGGCTGGACGACTTAGTTCAGTTTAGTAAGAGTTCTCTCCCTTGGCTGCACTCGAAACAGTGAGCGGAAAAGTCACGAAACAAAGAAGACAGTGAGGTCGATATCAGGGCCAATGCTTGGTTGTGTCCCCCAGATCTGGGGGTTCTTTTTTTGACGTTGAGGGGAAATCTGGGTTTTTTTTTTTTTTTTGCCGATCTGTATGCTTTAATGACCGATAAATTCGCGTGGTTAGGGGTA